AATACTATAGTCTGGTTTGATCTGTTTCTGGTGATTTGGTTTGGTTGGGTGAGAGTTGCTTTTATGAACATTATTGCCGCATTGTTTTTACTATTATTAACTCATTTTTTACACTTGTGTCTTGTCATGTTGATATTCTCTCGCTATACATCGTTCAGTATCAAATCATGATTCGTCTCCACCCTATTTAGATAGACTGTCTTCCATTTCTTTGATTTTTTCCTTTGATTTCTACCGTCGTTTGATATATCACCAAATAATGATATTCCGCGTCGCGTGGCCATAGTTCTGGAGCTTTGTTACGGACATTGTGGTGGAGGTTCGATTTAAGGCCTTCCGGACCAGCGATTTCTGTCCCGGCTGGACTCTCCAGTTGTCTTCGTCCTGCTTGTGAATCTTGGTGACGTCACAGCGACCTTTGTCTCTGATTGGGGCATACGAATGACAAATGTCCGCCATTGTGGTGAAGGCAAACGGTTTTCATCCCGATCTCGACCTCCTGCCCATTTTCTGTTTTTGTTTTTTTGTCTCGCTGTCGATGGTCCTGATGTCATCCGAGGACGTCACGTTCTTTGCCATCTCTTAACCTTTGAAGATCGTTCTCTGACAGACGGGCCTGTTGAGCTCGCTTTTTTAACACATTCGGAAATGGAATGTCACGATATCCGCCTGCTGTGAGCAGCTGACCGTCCACTTGCTGATGCCAACGTGAAAACGCCGTGTTGTACACGGTGATAATGAATCGGCGATTCAACTCATGGACTAGTGATTCAGTCCACGAACCGGACCCCACCCATCGGAAAGGTTATGCCGTGTTCTGGCCGCGTGAGATTGTGACCGTGCGTGTTATGTGACCTGCGCGTTGGCGCGCGTCCCGTGTCATGTCACTTTTCGATCCGTCTGGGGCCATGTGACCCGTGTGGTGTCATCCGTCCCGTGACATGTTATTTTTCGATCTGTCTAGGGTCATGTGACCCGTGTCATGTTATCTGTCCCGTGTCATGACATTTAGCGGGCTGTGTGGGGTCATGCGACTCTCTGGGGTCGTGTGACCCGCTGGGGTCATGTGAACCGTCTGGGGTTACGCTCTGAGCCGTGTGATGTAATGTCGCGACCCTTGTGGCGCCATGTGGTTACCGATGTGCGGTCATTTGGCCCACACGGGGTCATGTGGTGACCTGTCCGGCTACGGCTCGTTCGGGGTCCTCTTTTGACCTCGTTTGAGGTCAGTAGAGAGACTAAGCACGTGGCAACAGCGGGGGTCAGGGTCCCCGCCCGGCTGCGCCATCCGACAGCGCGATTGCTGCTCGCCGAATGCCGAAGGTGACGAGGCGAAACCAGTAGTGACGTCACCGGGGGAACGAACTGAGCAGTGACGTCATCGGGAGCGAACTGAGTAGTGACGTCACCAGGGAACGAACAGAAAGTGACGTCATCGAGGAACGAACTCGCATCTCGGGCGTATCACGGCATCTCTGTGACGTCACTGGGACGACGTCGATTCATTTTCAGTCCTGTTCACGGAGCCTTAACGCGCGGCACACACTAGAATTTAGGTCAATGCTTGGATGGCATCTTGCAATGATCGCATTCATCTAAAGATGGGTGCTTGTTTTGCTGAAGCGCAGCCGTTACTAAAATGCGGGCTTTTTGTCACGCCGGTTTTGTTTGTTGTCGGAAATTGAAAATCAATAATAGGAAATTAGTCATGATAGTCGTAGTTGTTTAGAGCAGCGGACGTTGTCTTGAAAGGTCCGAAATTTGCAAGCAAGGGTAATCTAAACATAGCATATTGCAAACGCATAGTGCTATGTGAATATCTCCATTGTAATGTCTTTCTTTAAACCTTTGGTCGAACGTGGTATCTGTTCCCAGTAGGGATCTCTGATGATGCGGAGGAGGTCAAGAATATTCGTTAGGACGCCACACCGGATCACCTCGATACATTTAAAACGATTCTTGCGCTAAGCCCTTGCAAAAAGGTAGTGAAAGCCGTCACTGACTCATGCATTAGCCAAAGCCAGCGATGTCCGATGGCTGCCGCAGTCCGGTGGTTGCCACAAACCGATGACGTCACGGTCGCTGCGAGTCAATGATGTCACTGTCACACACGGGAGTCGTCGCCGCCCAGCTCGGGCTGCCGCCCACCGCCGAGGCCTCTACGGATGGGGAGGTACTCGATACGCGGGGTCGGTGTCATCGCATGGTAAGTGCTGCTTGAATCAGGTGGCTCGTTTAGCAAGACGCAGTAACGCAACAGCAACACAACACAACAGCAGCACACAACACAGGGCGAGGGCTCGCTTGGCATCAGCTCATCTCAGTGATAGGTGGAGCCGTTGGTGGTAGCCTTTGGCCCCAACTTCAGTGGTTGCATTGCCATTATCATCATCTCGATCAGCAGAAGCAGCGCCATCATTTTCTTTGTTGTTTGTGCAGGCCAGGCTGAGCGTAACACGCCGGATGATTTTTTATCAAAGATTTGGCCACATTTGGATGCCATGCAGACGTGGTATTGCTTCGCCCAAAAGGACCAACGTCGGCCATCATAACCGCCTGATTGGGAGCCCAAAAAGATCGTCGGCAATCACGATGAAACCAACGAGATCTTCTCCACTTGCCTTAAATTAGGGATGTTGCCAAGAGGAGGGTCAAGGAGGGGGACATGCCCCCCCCCCCCTGACAACGGGGCCGAGCTGAGCCAAGCGACCCGTGGGCTCGCAGCGGCTTCACTCTGTGTCGTCCATCCGGCACGACCAGAGCCCCGGGAACATCAGACCCAGGGATTATGAGCAACGCGGTTCACATCTCACGCAGACGATCATGGACGTCCCGGTAGTGGTGCTTCGACATGTTTGTGGGCCGCGACCGTCCTAGGCGGTCTGTGTCCGCAGACTGCGCGGACACAGACTGTCCGCAGACTGTCGGCGGTCTGTGCCAAGCAGCCTGGTCCACAACCGTAACAGTTCCGTTACCGTAACGGTATCACCGAGGCTGCCTGATCACGTAACGCCTTCTCTTTTGAAGCAACCGAACACGGGAGCACTGCGACGCGCTGGGTAAAGGCCCCCTCGGCCAGGGCGAATGGGGTGGTCGAACCTGCCCCGGGGCGGTGCCGAGGTTCGGGAACCCTTCTGGTAACGTCGGCCAGATGGATGGCTGGGAGCGGCGTCTGGGGCGTGCCCGACCTCCGCTCTCTCACGCCGAAAGGGCGTGGGTTCGCGCCCGGTCCGAAGCCCCGCGTTTTCATGCCGTTCCCGCGTCGCCCTCATAAGGGTTAGTGGATTTGCCGTCGCACATCCACGCCCACGACACACTCAAATTGTAAAGCAAACGGCAGTCAGATCGACATAACACGAGCATGATGGGATTGGATTGGATTGGATTGGAATGGAATGAAATGGAATGGGACGGAACGGGATAGGCTTAAATGGAATGGAATGGGATTGAATGGAGTGGGGACGGGACGGGACGGGACGGGACGGGACGGGACGGGACAGGATGTGGGGTGAGCTGTTACCGACCAGCTTTTCCAACATCGACTGCTGCATCGTCACCGTTCCGACGTAACGTGTATGCGTCACGGCCGCTCGTTCGCCTCACTAGTATCAGTAAGCGCCAGACACTGCGTATGAGCGACACAGCGGCATACATATGCGGCATACATGTGCGACACACAGCGGCATGCATGTATGGTATATAGCGGCATGCAGCAGCATACGGCATAATGTAACACAACGGCATACATTGGGATACGTGTGCGACATACAGCGGCATACATGTGCAGCACGCGGCGGCATGTATGTCTGGTATACAATGGCGTACACGCGCGGCGTACAGCGGCATATATGTGCGGCATACAGCGGCATACGTTTGGGCACGCTGGCCAGCGGACTCATGTGCGTCGGTGTGCGCAGGCACTGGCGGTAACGTACATCCGTAAGTACGACACGCCCAATCGTAAGGCGAACCGCACCACGGACGGTTTGTGTCAGTAAGCGCGGGGTTGTGATCGGACGCCGCCACCGAGCTCTGCCGTAACGACGGGGGGGGGGGGGGGGCGCTCCTAAGGTAGCGCCTCGATCCGGCGGCGACTGCGTGTATTGATCACGTGGCGTTACCAGGGCGATGTTTGACCAGCCAAGAGCGCCGCCGCGCGTGCCCGCGGGGCGCCGACGGAGGCTGCGGCGATGGAGTGCGCCTGGGTCGGGTCAGGTCAGGTCAGGTCAGGCGCGCCGGCTCTGAATGTCTCATTTGAGCAGAATTAGCCGGCTGCCTTGTGCTGGCGGTCCGCCGCGCGACGAGCGTCATCGCAACCACGTCAGGACATCACAACCACGTCAGCCACATCAACCACTGAAGGCGACGAAGCAAGCAGATGCGCCGTTGGTCTGGCTTGCATCGTAGCTCTTGACCCGTTCCGGTTTCATAGGGTCCCAAGGTGCTTGGTCCACATGCTCGCATGTGCATGCGTGTGATTCAAGCACACATGCATTGACATTCGCAATGATTTAAATGTCCTTTTCCCCGATGTTTGTTTATTTACATCCATTCGTTTACGTTTAGACAATTAGACGGTGACTTTTTAAGACAGGCATCATACGGAAGTGTCGAAGGAAATTCCTGAATCCTCTTCGTGGACTTAAAAGCTGATGGCAGATTGAATAGTCAGTCAATTTCGTCGTGTTTTTTCACCACTTCAGCACGTCAGTGGAGAACGCACACCACGATGAAAGACAAGCGATGCACAGTGATGCGCGTCAATCTGCAGCATTCATCAGTTATGACGGCGTGACGTTACGTGACACGTGACGCGAATCAGAGGCCCTTCACGGGGCCTCAGAAGGGACCGCATCCGGAACGAACAGTTACGTTTTTGTGTGTGTTGTTCATGTTGGTAAGAAATGTGATGTAGATGCCAACCCGTTTTTCTTGTTAAAAGATGTTTTCTTCTTCACCCTTCGTGTCTGTTATTTATGTGTTGTTTTCTTTTTCACCAGGAGGTTCATGCGCGGGAAGGTCATTCCAGTTCGAAGTGAGTGCCATTTATTGTCTCCAAACGGATTGTCGTATTTTTCAATCGTGTTTTCACATCTCATTTCTTTCGAACTCATCGTCGTGTTCAAGATTAATTTTGGTTGCATTCTACTCACGTGAATCATCCATTCACATCATCAATTTATTTACTGTCAGTTTTTGTAATACGGATAGCGTTCTTTCAACTAGCATTTTTCGAGATGTCGAATACTTGCAGGAACTCGCGGCTGCTCGTGTTTTCCGTCGGAATATTTCGATTGAGCGAGGATCGAGACCGAGACGCTCTTATTGCCAAGAGGTGTGAGTTAGCACGTCCAGATTTAAGCAAATGTGTCGCGCCACGGGGAGAGCGGTGTGACGCCGATCGCCGCGTGGAACCTCATGACCAACTTCACGTTTTTAGGTACCACAATCTGAACGCGAGCTAAGAGAGACTTTCTTGCAAATGGAACAAGGTACGAGACTGGGCGCAGCGCGCTCGGCGGCACGTGTGACATAGGGGCGTGGGCTCTCCCCTCGGTGTTGGCCTGGCCGTGGCGCTGTTCGATGTCTCCGGTGTCGAGGATTGCGTCACCGCGAATGACGTCACAAGAATAGCACGAATGACGTGCTAGGCCCTTTCCGGTGACGTCATTTGTCGTGCCATGCCATTTGCTATCACTGCTATAAGGGTGTAAAGATTCAGTGAAGTTTGGGCTGATATTGATTTGGACTCGTTTGGAGTAGCTGAAACTACCATTCTTCGAAGCTTTAATGAACTTTCAACGTTGCTGTTTCAAGAGGGCAAGAATTGAACCAAATCTGTGAATCAAGCCATAACGTGGAGACTGTTTTGGAGCTTGATTCACAGGAAACTTGCACTATCCTTGATTCGGTACTGAGCCTTATCGAATCAAGCTCAATTCTGGTCTCAAAAAGCATGACTGAGCTCATGTTGACCTGGGCACGGCCGTCCCAGTGGTGACACTCCATATCGTGCACAGCGAACTACTCAGGCTTTCAAAGCCGAGTAATGATGGAGCAACAACAGCAGCAGCAGCCGCAGCAACAGCAGCCGCCACAGCAGCAACAGCATCAACAGCAGATGCGAAACCAGCCGCAGGCGGCGCCGTATTACTTGCCGCCGTCTTCATACCAACCATCGGCAAGTGTCTTTTTACATGACCGAATAGTCATTGGACAACTCTGAATGACCGGCGATGTAAGAAATTTGAGAACGGCAGAAGCGTTCGTGATGAAGTGAATGGGACAAAACACATGCGCCTCTCTTAGTGGGGTTCCTGGGCCCCGTGCCCGCGACGTCCGCGCATAGTGGGAGAGGGTCAAATAGTTCGCACCTTGGGTGGTGGCCAACTGGGGTAACCTCTAATTGTGAAATTGTCCAACAGATGGGGACGGAGCCGCAGCTGTACGATGCCACACTGCACCAGCCGTCGTACCCACAGCCGTCTCCGCCCGTGAGTGACGCATCTGGCCCCATAAACCGCGATGCCTCGGAACAAATCTCAATCGGGACTGAATGCTGTTAGAAAGGCGACTCTGATGAATAGGATCCCCAACCGCATGAATGGGATCCCCCAACCGCGTGCCGCTGACATAGGCGCATAGCAGGAGAGGGGAAAATACCTCGGATTGTGGCCGAATGTGGTGACTTCTGAACGTGAACATGCTCCACAGATGGGGGCGGAGGCGCAGCTGTACGATCCTGGACTGCACCAGCAGTTCTCTCAGCCGTCTCCGCCGGTGGGTGGCAAGTGTGACGTCACAAACCGACAGGACGTTTTTTTCAGTCCGAGCCAAATTTTGTCAGAGTTGCGACGCTAAGGGGATGTTAACACCCGCGTTGTGTGGACGAGACTTGTCTCACGTGAGACATCGTTGTTGGTGTTCGTGGATGAAATAGGGTTAGCGTTTGATGAGAAACAAGTGTTGATCTAGTGTTCCTTAGTTTCAGTAAAGCATCTGGCAAACTTCCCAAGAACGTTTTCTTTAGAAGTTAACATATTTTTGGATGAACAGTTCACTAATCGGATGGGTGGCTTCCTTCGTTTCAAATCAAACACGGAAAGTGAGCCTGGACAGCGTCATTCGGAAATTGTTTTTGAAGTTCTGGGGTGCCTCGAGGTAGTGACTTAATACCTTTGTTGCTCATTGTGTACATGCATGACAAAGTCGAAGGATAAAATTGTGATATGCGTTCGCTTGCTGATGGCGTGGTTATATATTAATACGTTGACTGTTCTAGCCAAACGAATGCAATTTTTCAGAAGGTATGCTCAATAGATTGCTAGTGTGGCAAATGGCTGATATCATTAATGGTTCAATCATGTGGATAACAAGAGGCAGATTTTCATTAAAAAAGTAGAATTATAGTACCATGGGGTGCAGATATCAGGTAGGTTTGACTGGCACGGGGAGCTCAAAAACATAGCAGGAAAATGTAACCAGAATGTCAGGTATGCCGAGAAAGTATCTAGCAGAAATGTAAAAAAACAGAGATGTAAAAAACCGACCGAAACCAAAATATTTTGGCCAGGCCAATGTTGCAGTATGCTTGTTACGTGTAGGACCCGGATGTCGGGCGCTTGGTCCATTCCATAGCACAGAGATAGCTCAGAGAGGGGCAGCGATACTGGTTTAAGGCAAGTATGGCAGGCACCGAGGTGTAAATGGTATGCTTCTTGGGCTGCGTTGGAGACGCTGGAATCTAGACGAAAGCAGGCCAGGCTTTGCCAGCTGTTAAGACTTTGCAATGGATACAGCAATGTAATCGTTGAGAATATTATGGTGCGACCAAACCATGTGGGTTGCAGGGATGATCTGAGATCGATGCGCCCCATACAGTCTCGTCTTCTTTATTTGCATACCTCATTTTTTCCTGAACTATTCGAGATTTGAACTGATTGGATCCAGTTGTGATGTCTGTGTTGAGTACCGTAGACCAGTTAAAGCATATGCTGGAAAATAAAAGTGTTAATGAGGTCATTTTTAGGTGTGTAATTGTGCTGTACGCAAAGTTTGCGTGATGAATATTTTCTGGGTTTTGACACATGCTCAAGGCTCCTAATGATGGATATTATTATTATTGCGCAGTATTCTCAACCACAGCACTTATACACCATCGAAAATCCAGTTCTTCATGCCTTATAACGTATGCTGTTTGTTTCCATCACTACGGCCTGCATTGCTGTTTTAGATGTAATAAACGATGCGTAAAGAAGAAAAAGTACTGGTAGTGTACGGAGAGTCACTCCACAGTGTGATATGCGAAAAGATCCGTTTGCAGTCTGAATGCTGTGCATGGTGTGTTGATGTGAACAGCGTTCCGAACACATTTCTCCGCGTTTCTGTCCGTCCCGGGGCTGGTAGCCGTCCCATCCCACTACCGCGATATTGTCCCGTTGCCTGCTCAGTGGCCCCGTACGGCACACCGCACACGGCATACCATGCACGGTATAGCATGCACGACATACCGTGTACGGCATACCATGCATGGCATATCATAGACGACATACCGGGCACGGCATACCATGCACGGCATACCGGGCACGGCATACCATGCACAGCATGGTTTACCTGGCATGGGCACGGCATACCATGCACGGCATACCGGGTACGGCACACCATGCACGGCATACCATGCACGGCACACCATGCACGGCATACCATGGACGGCATACCGGACACGGCATACTATGGACGGCATACTGGACACGGCATACCGGGCACAGCATATCATGCGCGGCAAACCATGCACGGCACACCATGCGCGGCACACCGCGCACGCCATACCGGGCACAGCATACCGCAGGTTTTGCGGGCTGAGGCCGGGGCCTGGGGTAGAAGCGGGCATAGCGTCCGGTGTGATTGTCGCGCGGTCGAGTCGGCTAGTGCCGAGGATGCGCCCCGGACAGCTTGGCCGACAGCGTCTCCTTCCGCCTCCTCAGGCGCTGCTGCCGAATCGCGACCCGCGTCTGTCGTCCGCCGCCCCTCGTACGTCGCACAGCGTGGAGGACGTCATGCTGGACAATGTGAGTGTCGGCACGCGTTCGTTTTCTGGCTGCGCGGATCACAGTCTGGCGACGCGGTATAGCCTCATCAGCTGAGTGCTTGTTAAAACACCAATGACTGTTCATTTCCAGTGATCATATCCATGTCGGACGGACGGTCTTATCAGGATGTTAGCTGCGGGTTACGCCCCAGTTTTAAGGTTCTCACAGAGCTGCAGTCTGACATGAGCGTAAGATGGAAAGCAATCTTTTATCGCCTGATTTAAAGAAAATAAATCCTTAACATCGGACACGCCAGTTTAGGTGCCCAAAATCTGGATACAAATCAGGTTTCGGGGCGGGAAGTTAAGCTCAGCATTATGGGATGAGCCCCCCCCCCCCCCCCGATTTAAAAATGGCCGCTCCTGCTGGCGGCTGCTGGTGGTTAGCGTCCGGTAGGCGGGCTCACAGTCTGTCCGACGCCGGCAGATCCCGCTGACAGTGCCAACGCTGGCCGTGCCGCAGAGCTCGGCGTCGACGACCAGCCCGAGGATGGCCTCTCACGGAGGCTTCCGGCCGATGGTGGGTGGGACGCGACGCCCGGCTGGGGGGGGGGGGGGGCAGAGGCTTCCCGCTAACAGGAGGTGGGACGGAACATCCGGCTGGGGGGGGGGGGGGCAGAGGCTTCCCCGCTAATAGGAGGTGGGACGCGACGCCCGGCTGGGGGGGGGGGGGGGGCAGAGGCTTCACGCTAATAGGAGGTGGGACGGAACACCCAGAGGGAGGGGGAACCGAGGATTCCCGCTAATAGGAGGTGGGACGGAACACCCGGCTGGGAGGGGGGACCGAGGCTTCCCGCTACTAGGAGGTGGGACGCGACACGCGGCTGGGGGGCGGGGGGAGGGGGCTGGGCTGCCCACGTTTGCTTGCTGTTGCTGTTTTGCCGTTGTGCGAGAGGCTGCATGATGTGGTCTTTGTTGTCTTTACTCTCCTGCGTTTATGTGGCGTGTTATTGGAAATGGGAGCGCGGCTGTGGAAACTGACGGAGCCTTGTAGTCGATGGCTGGTGGCCGTGTAGTCTGTGTGCCCTGTGCCCGGAAACTGACGGAGCCTTGTAGTCGATGGCTGGTGGCCGTGTAGTCTGTGTGCCCTGTGCCCGGAAACTGACGGAGCCTTGTAGTCGATGGCTGGTGGCCGTGTAGTCTGTGGGCCCTGTGCCCGGCGCTGGGTGGCGTCGGCCGGTCGTTGTCACGCGCATGCTCGTGCTTGGCAGGATGCTCCTGACGCGTCGGTCATGGGAGTGCCAGGCGAACAAGTGATGGTGAGTCCGAGCTCGCTGCGTGGCCACAGAGGCGCCACGCCCCCAGGGCGCCCCATAACGGCCCCAGTACGTCCCGTAACGTCCCCAGTGCACCCCCGCAACGTCCCCAGTACGCCCCCATAACTTCCCCAGTACACCCCATAACGTCCCCAGCACACCCGTAACGTCCCCCAGTACACTCTCACAACGTCCCCAGTGCACGCCCATAACACCCCCAGGGCACCCCATAACGGCCCCAGTGCGTCCCGTAACGTCCCCAGTACACCCATAGCACCCCTAGCACACCCCCGTAATGTCCCCAATACACCCCGTAAGGTCCCCAATGCACCCCACAACGTCCCCAGTACATCCTCATAACGTCCCCAGCACTTTCCCGTAATGTGCTCAGTACTCTCATAACGTCCCCATTGCGCCCCCATAACGTCCCCAGTGCACGCCCATAACGCACCCAGGACACCCCCATAACGTCCCCAGTGTGTGCCCTGCCGTGCCACTATTGAGAGCTGCTGCTGTTGTTGATCGCTTCGCGCAGTATCCACTGCACTGGTGGCCATTTCCTGAAGCGGACACTACGGCTCGTTAGAGCTGTTTTCTTGTTGTTTTGCATGTCCCTGCCAACCACTGTGTTGTAGTTGATACGGCAGGTGACATACGCGCGCTGTTAAAGGGCTAATGGGCTAATGTGACGGGCGAATACACTCTGTTAAAGGGCTGATGTGACGGGCGAATGGGCCAGCAAAGCCAGCGTCGATGGCGTAGCGTGTCGAACACTTGTCAATGACTCGTGAAAGGCTGCGTCAATGCATAGTCATTGTCACTGTCGCCACTTTTGCCATTTTGTATTGTCATTGTTCAGCGGGTAATGTTCATACATTGGCGTTAGCATTGGCATTGCATTGGCATTGGCTGGCCGGGAGTTCCCGTCTGGAGGGTGCGTGGGTGGAGGCGCGTATGTGGGGTTTTCTCGAGGCCGGGCGGGGCGGGGGACGGGGAGAGGCGCAGTGCAGATTATCTAACAGCACTGGTCAAAGCGTATGCAAAGCTTACGCACAAGTGTCCAGATCTGTTTCATGTGGGGATGCGACACCCGCGCCACCTCGGTGTGTCTTCGGCTACGTACATGCACGGCACGTGCGACAGAGAGCATTCGTGAAGTATTACTGACCCGTGCTTTGTCCTTTTCAGGAAGGGGTTCTGGATGGCGTGAGTACTTTGGGAGGTGGCAGGGGGGGGGGGGGAGGCGGGACCGCCCTTGTGGTCTTCTCCGTCTTGGCACTTGCTGGGAACCTGCTTCTTGTGTCTCACAGTGTCTAATGCCATTGATGGTCATTGATGGTCATTGATTGCCATTGATGGTCAGTGTATTTGGACTGTTGGCCCACTGATGACTCACAGTGTGTAGTATCCAGTCTATTGATGGCCATTCTCTGGCGCGTGTTCCACGGCTGCGGTTATGAGAGTTCTCTTGCGTTGCGTGTGCCTGCCGTCTGCAAGGGCGTGGCCGTCTCGGCACGCTGCCCATGCGCGCACGTTGCACGCTGTAAACGACTCATATCGGATACGAGTGATTCAGTAAGGCTAGCGTCGATGACGTATGGTCACCGCTTGCCAGCGACTTGTTTAATGCGATGTAGATAGACGATGAGTGCCACCGTCGCGGCCATGTTACTGACCGTCTCCTCCGTTTGCAGATCCTCTCGGGAGCGCAGGTAAGGTCGCATTTTTCCACGGGTGCCCATGGTTCAAGCAGCTGTGATGCAAACGTCTGGTCGTTTCAGTCGGTTTAGGTTCAACCCCGTCTGTCCCAGGTACAGACGTGGAGTCAGTGAGCCTTGCATCGATGCCAGGAGTCGGGGGAGTTGATCTGTGGTATAAGTTCGGAGGTCGTTTTACCCGCGTAATGAATGCAAGGTGCCATTATTGTGGCACAACACCTCAGTGACGTCATTTGCAGTCGGGTGATTGGGCTATTGGTGCTCAATGATGTCTGGCTGTTGGGTGTTCCCATATATAATAAGGATAGTTTGTTAACGATCAATGCCGACATCAGCAGGTTGATGGACGCCGCCTTACGTGTTAGCTCGTACATACATGTTATACATACATGTTAGTTCATACATACATCATGCATGTTAGTTTGCCTGTTCAAAGCCGGTGCCAGTAAGATACCAGTGACGTCATTTGTGAATGCTCGCTCTGCCGTTAGCTGCCGGCTGAGCGTCTTCCTCGTTTCAGCTTCAGGAATTTTTGAACGCGCTGCCACCAGGCATCATGGATGACAGCTGTCCCCAGCCACCTCGCCGGAACCACGCCCCCCCGCGGCGGTACGCACCTGGGGGAGGGAGGGGGGCACCGCCGGTTGGTTCGTCTTACGTCACAGGGGCGCAAGGTGGCAGTGCATCTCTCAGGGTGTACTGATTGTTGTGTCGGAGGTTCGTTTTTTCACATAAGACACGCTGTTTCGCCCCCTCGCCATCTCGCTCTGTCGCTCTCTTTCTCCCTCGCTCTCTCGCTCGCTCACTTTCTCTCTCGCTCTTTCTCGCTCTTTCTCGCTCCCTCGCTCTCTCGCTCACTCACTCGCTCTCTCTCGCGTGCAGTAGATAACCCAAAGCGTCCGATGGCGTCGTACTATGCCGTTTCTCCAGCGCGGTTGCGGTGGCCGCTTCGGGTGAAGTTCACACTTTCCTGTCTCAGTGCGTTGTCATGTCACAGTGCGTTGTCAGCACCAGTGTCACAGAGCTTTGCCAGCGCCGGTGGCGCAGTGCGCTTTCAGCGCCAGTGTCGTGGGGCTGGTGCGGCCTTTACCCAGTCCAACGTCTGAAAAACGTTGGAACGAGAAAAATAGAAAAAAAGGAAGAAGACACTGCTGGGCGACTTCCATGTCATCGACTCTGTTGCAGTGGTGCGCGGCCTCGGCACGGTGGAGGCCGACTCGGCGCCGGCGACCGACCAGCTGGCCGAGGAGATGGACAAGCTGCAGTTGCAGCCGGAGGCGGCGCCGCTGCCTCGCGCCGCCGACACCAGCCGCCCCGAGGTCAAGGTGGGTGTGGCCCGACCTGAGGTCAGGTGGCGCTGGGCCTGAGGAGCTACAGCAGGTAGCGTCAGTCTCTCGCTTCGGCTGGTCACCCGGCGTGTCAGCTGTCCGGCAGGCGTCCTCAGCGGGTGCCCCGTGTGCCCAGTCTCTGTGTCTGCGCCCACAGCCGGCGGTCGTGTTTTCAGTTTCTGTGCTCTCAGTGTCCGTGTCACCAACCTGTGTCTGCGCCCACAGCCGTCAGCTGTGGTCTTGGCCTTTCTTTTCTTGTCATCTGTGTTCTCGTTATCCGTGTTTTCAGTATCTATTTTCAATCTCGGTATTCTCAGTCTCTGTTCTTAATGGCCGTGTTCTCAGTCCCCGTGGTCTCAGTCTCCTTGTGTTCAGTGTCCGTGTTCTCAGTTTCCGTAGTCTTGGTCTCGGTGTTTTCAGTCGCCGTGTTTTCAGTCTCCATGTTCTCAGTCTCCGTGTTTTCAGTATCCGTATTCTCAGTCTCCGTGTTCTCAGTCTCTGTGTTCTCAGTCTCCGTGTTCTCAGACTCCGAGTTCTCGGTGTCCTCGTCACCAGCCTGTGTCTACGTCCACAGCTGGCCTACACCAACGCCAACAGTCTGTACCTGTTCGCGGCGACCGGAGAAGAGAACTTCCTTCTGGAGAACTACCGTTGTCTGGTCGGCATGGAGAACCTGGACGGCGACAAGTGAGTGAACCTTGACACGACGCCCTGACACAGACATTAGCCGAGGGGTTAGCGTGTCGGACTCCCACGCAGGGGGCGTAAGTTCGCATCCCGTTTGGGCCAGAGATTCGACTGTGGCTTGACGCGACGGACGGTGGAGGGGTGTGTTGGCGTCAGTGAGCTGCGTGGATAACGATGCTCTACGGGAACTGAGAGTATGCGCGCTATGGAGAGCAGTATTCCTCATCCTGGTGTTGGGTAGCATGGGCGCTACCGCGAAAACCTGTATCCATCGAGGGTTGTTGAGAGCATGTGTGGACATTGGTAGAACTGCATAGGCGTATGTTCATGAAGAGAGAGCCTGAGGGGCCATTCTCCGCTCCCAACGTCTTACCAACGCCTACGACAAACTCTCGTTACGACCGTGGCGAGCATTGGCGTCCACTTGAGATTTCACCACTCTTTTTCTGGGACAAACCAACGTACCTCCGCGAGGCTGTGCTGCTTTGCCGTCCATGTGGTGTCGTATCCCCCGTGAGCGGCTGGATGGCAGACGCCGTCGCTGCCCGCAACTGACACGGCCCACCTCACCCAGCGTGCTGCACGTGGCGGCCATGTTCCGCCGGTCGAAGGCCATGGCCAGCCTCCTGGAGGCCATATCGGGGGTGCCTCCTGAGCTGCGAGCCGCCATGATCAACAGTCCCAACGCCGACCGCCAGGTGGGTCATAGTTCTCACGTGGGCCGCCAGGTGGGTCATAGTTCTCACGTGGGCCGCGGGGTCTGTCACACGCCCACTGCGGGATATTTGGTGGGTCACAGCTCTACCGCTTAGCCTATTGCAGTGCTCCATTTCCGTATTGCAAGTCGGGGAACTGTTATCATCTTGACATATGATGTATGTATGTATAAAATCACGACAGTTCGGGCCAATATCGCCCTGCGTCTGGCACCAACGTGCCATGTCAGTTCTATTACGGCAGCGCCGCCGTATACCGGCCGGTTCTCTGTGACCACGTGAGCACACGTCACCAGCGGGACTCGACTGACCTCCGGCCCGGCCGTTCTCGCAGACGCCGCTGCACGTGGCCACGCTGGCCGGCGATGCCGCCTGTGCGGGCCTGCTCCTGGAGGCCGGCGCCCAGAGCCACCTGGTGGACCGGGCCGGAAACACGGCCCTCCACCTGGCGGCCCAGGTGGGCAGCGCCCCCGTGCTGCGCCTGCTGCTGCAGCGGCTGGGGGCCGACGGCAGCGCGCAGCGCATCCTGCAGCAGACCAATTACCAGGGTAGGTGGCAGACTAGCATACTGCAGCAAACCAACTACCAGGGTAGATGGCAGGCTGGCATACTGCAGCAGACCAATCACCAGGGTAGGTGGCAGGCTGCGGGCTGTGTCAGCTCTGTGGTATGAGATGAAGCTGGGGCTGGGAGCCCGGCGCCAGCGGCCTGGCGCTGGCGGCCGCGCTGGTCCCTGCCGTTCCGGTGATATGGTTGGTGCTCTTGGCCAGGTCGTCCTATCGGACCCAGGCCTGCTGAAGCCATTGTTCTGTTGTTGACTGATCTGACTTCATCTGACCTGAGTTGACCTCCTCTGACCTGAGTTAACCCCGTCTGACCTGATTAACGTCTGACCTGAGTTAACGTCAGATGACCTCAAATGGTCTGAGCTGGCCTGAGATAACCTTAGTTGACCTCAAGTGATCAAAGGTAACCTCAGCTGACCTGTGCTGACCTCAGGTGACCTCAGCTGACCTGAGCGGACCTCATTTGACCTAAGCTGACCTCAAGTGACCTCAGGTGACCCGAGCAGACTCAGGTGACCTCAGCTAACCTGAGCGGCTGGCCGGCAGGACTGAGCCCGCTGCACGTGGCCGTACAGGCCGGCCGGGCGGAGTCGGTGCGGCTGCTCTGCCAGGACGGCGCCGACGTGGCCGCCCCCGACGACACCGAGGGTCGCTCGCCACTGCACATGGCCGTGGAGGCGCGCAACCCGGACATGTGCCGCCTGCTGCTGGACAGGGTAGGCGGCCGGCGCGGCGCGGCTCCGTCGCACTAGCTGACGCAGCGTCCACGCAGCGCCGCTCGTGGTGGTCACGGTGTCACTGTCGATGATGTTGATGGTGGTGATGCGCTTGGCGATGCTGCTGATTGACGAGGCGCCAGGTGTCCTCGGGCTGGGCTGGCTATCCGTCCTGGGCTGGCTATCCGTCCTGGGCTGGCAGCTGGCAGATGGTGAATGTTTGTGCGTGCTCTGCTGCCGCAAATCACATCGTACACGTGCGTTGCTTTTTCGGCGTGCGCATATGGTGTGTTGTCTAACGCTGTTTGTGTTCCATCCTGAGATATTCTTATCCTGGCGCTGCACCACGTGCCATCGCCCGTGACCCTTGGCCAACGCTCTGACCCTGCGGTCCTCACCCCGCCCCTGATCCCGTGACTCTTCGCCCCGACCTTTCCACCCGTGACCCCTGGCCTTCCTCTGACCCGTCGACCCCGCCGGCAGGGCGCCGCCGTTGACGCGCTGACCTTCGCTGACGTCACGCCGCTGCACATCGCCTGCAAGCTGGGCGACCGCCGCCTGGTGGCGCTCCTGATAAGCGCCGGTGCCGACCCACGCCGCCAGAGCGTGGAGCGCCAGATCCCGGCCGGCTCGGGCACGGAGAGCGAGGAGGACGAGGCAGGCGAGAGGGAGACCGACGAGGCGGAGGAGAGCGCGCCGCGTCTGGACGCCTTCCTCTACGCCGAGATGGCCGGAGACTCGCAGGTTCGGCCGCCTTGGTGTCAGCCCTCGCTCTGTGGCTCTGGGAAGATGTGTGCCCACAGCCTCGGGTGGTGCGTGACCGTGACCGTGACTACGAATGTCTGACGAACCGTCGCTCTACCGTGACCGTGACTACGAATGTCTGACGAACCGTCGCTTGACCGTGACTGTGACCGTGACCTGTGCGTGACCGAGTCACGTGACTGCGGGGGTGGCCGTTTTTCATGGCGGACTCGCTCACATCTTGCTGTGGCGTTGTTCTCGAAAACGAAACGCGACCGTGGCGTCGCTGGTGACAATTAGCCGGCTGCTGGCCGGCGGCTCACGGGGCCGCCGTCTCGGCTCCGCTGCTGACGGCTCCGCTCGGCTCCGCTCGCCAGCTGGAGCAGATCCTGCTCGGGAGAGTGCGCGCCGCGGGCCCGGAGGTCGAGGCCGCCGCCGCCGCCGCGCCCGTCGCCGCCGCCGCCGCCGCCGCCGCGGTGCCGGCGGCCGTGGCCAAGAAGGGCGCCATGGACAGCGGCATGGACTCGGGCCTGGGCATCACGCAGGAGCTCACCTCCGCCTCGGACGTGGCGCCAGCGGCCGAGCCGCGCCCCCGCTCCCCAGGTGCGTCCTCTCCCCCTCCCCCCCCTCCCCCTCCCCCCCCCCGTCCGGAGGGTACGGGGAGGCGGGTCAGGACGGGCTCCATTGTGTGGACAGACCTCGCCGGGAGGACGACGGTATTGGCGGACCGATCCGCGGCTTTTCTCCTCGCTGAGGTGCGTTCCCTGTTTGAATTCTGCCCTGCCTTGAAACTGACACACCCGGTACCGTGTGCCGTGCTCCCTTCTCACCGACACATGTTCCCCTGTGTCAATGGCAGTGATGCAGCCCCCATGCTGTGCTGTGCTGTGCTGTACTGCCCCCGCTGGCACATGTCCCCTTGGCGTGTCTACCCCGCTGGGAGCCGTCCCCGTGGCGTGTCTACCCCGCTGGGAGCCGTCCCCGTGGCGTGTCTACCCCGCTGGGAGCCGTCCCCGTGGCGTGTCTACCCCGCTGGGAGCCGTTCCCGTAGCGTGTCTACCCCGCTGGGAGCCGTCCCCGTGGCGTGTCTACCCCGCTGGGAGCCGTCCCCGTGACGTGTCTACCCCGCTGGAGCCGTCCCCGTGGCGTGTCTACCCCGCTGGGAGCCGTCCCCGTGGCGTGTCTACCCCGCTGGGAGCCGTCCCCGTGGCGTGTCTACCCCGCTGGGAGCCGTCCCCGTGGCGTGTCTACCCCGCTGGGAGCCGTCCCCGTGGCGTGTCTACCCCGCTGGGAGCCGTCCCCGTGGCGTGTCTGCCCCGCTGACCGCGGTGTGCCGCCGTGTTATGTCCACCTTACATCATTGGTTGCCCCCGTGTTATGCCGGTAGCTCTGTGGTTTCTGCGCCGTGGTGACCTCGCGGGAGGTAACATTGCCCCTGTGCCAGGTCTGTCCGTGCTAACATCCCTGTTGCCCCTCCGTCATGGCCACTCCTACCCTCACTCACTGACAGCCATGTCGTCCATGTGTAGTCTCACTGACTGATCGGTTACTCCGTGCCATGTCTCGTGCCACTGGCAGCTCCGTTGCCATTGTCGCATGTGTCCTGCTGGTGGCTGTGTTGCCCCCGTGTCATGTGTGTCCCCGCCGGTGGCCGCGTTGCCCCTGACATCGCCGGCGGCGCAGGCTGCCTGCCGGAGTCTGCCGAGCGCCGGCTGGTCGCCATTCTGGACGGACCGGACAAGGCGTGGCGCGAGCTGGCCCAGGTGCTCGAGCTAGACGTCTCGGCGCTGGAGCAGCGGGCCAGCCCCACCGCCCATATACTGCGCTGCGTGAAGGTCAGTGTGACTTCGTGTGTCCTGTGAAAACTGTGAGCGTGTTGTTTGTGTGTGTGTGTGTGTGTGTGTGTGTGTGTGTGTGTGTGAAATGCAGTCATTTAGAATGACTTGGAATCATCAGACTGTGGTCGATTTGGATTTCGTTTTTTTTATAAGATGTGCAGTCTGTGAGATCGCGCTGGATTATGTGGCGCTAAGTGATCGAGCTGTCAATAATTCAGCACACAGTCATCTGTAACAATTCGCCAGAGGCGCTACTCCACGTGGGTCCTGCGTCATGAGTCGGTCAGTGACGGTTTACAAGTTTGATCGTTTTAAAGTTGGCGTGTGCAAGCATGAGAGCATAATAGGTTTTCAGACTATTCAGGAGTAGGATTGATCGATGCTGCTAAAAAGTGTGTGGTGCGGATCGTTTCACTGGTTGTTTGACAGTCTGTGATCATAGCATAGTCTGACGTCATCGCATGGTCTGACGTCGGGCGCGTTCGGTCGTGTTGCAGAAGTACGACAACCTGTCGTTGGAGTACCTGGCCAAGGTGCTGCAGATCCTGGGGCAAGACGAGGCGCACCGCATCGTGCGCGATCATGCCGGCCAGTAGTCGCCGACGACTTCACGTCCTATTGGCCGGCGGACGACCGCGGCGCGCGATTGGTGCATGGACGTGACGTCAGCAGCGCGTGAGCGGCTTCATTGGCAGACGCATGCGGCCGGCGCGCATGATAGGACGTGTGATGTGAGGTCTGAGGTTGCGTCACGCCGCCAGCTGTTTCGTGACGCGCTGGATTGGACCCGATGTCTGTGGCTCCGCCCACCGGCTGGCACTGGGAGGTGCGCACGTGAGCGAAGCTCTGTGGTCGACGTGGCGGGACTGGGTAGTTTGTGATTGAGGGGGAGATGGTCGTGTCCACACCCCCCCCCCTGACGGCGAGGCGCCCCGTGACCTATTGATGTGACAGCAGCCCGACCGGGCCCGTTCAAGTTAAAATCAAACGTTTAGTTAAGGCGTGTTCGTGCGTGTTTAGTTTAAGAAACGTAGTTGGTCATGTCGCGGCAGACGCCGCGGGCTCCGCCTCCCACTCGCCGCCGCCGGTCGCCGAGGCCCGCCTCGGCTCTCGTGCTGCGGCTGACGTGTCCGAAGTCAAGCCGCCGTATCGCATCGCCGAACGCGGTGGCTCGTCGCTGCCGCCGCCAGAGGTCGCGCTCCCGCCGGGCCGTCGCTGCGCTTGGGTGGCGGGATGGGGCTCTGGCTTTGGCGCTGAACGCTGCGGCAGTAGAGCGAGGCTGGCGCCGCGGCACCTCCAGGGAAGAGAGGAGGAGAAGGAGAAGGAGAAGGAGAGGGGGGGAGGGGGGGGGGGGCGGCGGCCGTTCATCGCTCGACGTTTCTCCGGCTCCCACTGGGTAGCTGACGGCCCTGAATGCCGAGTATCCACTTTAAAAAAAAATCCCGACGGAGGTTTTCACCACTTGTCGGTCCTGGCTCTTGTTGGCAGTCTAAACCGGTTACGTTTGTTAATTTGCACGTGTTCGTCGGCATTTTTCAGGTTATGGCGATCGTGAGCTCTGTTGGCGTTTTAGCGGAGTGACTCGTGTCGTCGTAGCCGTCCGTCCGCCCATGGCTGCGCCTCTGCACAGCCCTGTGTCGCGCGGATAAATGTAGTTGTGGAGAAGTGCGCCGACCTTGGCCGGTCTCTCGGACGGTGCCGAGATGTGACCGCCTTCGCTTTTGTCCTCGTGTGAACGGCCGTTTTCCATCGATGATAGTTGTCCCATTGTCACATTGGTGTTTGCAGACTGTGCTTTATTTGGCTCGGGGGGGGGGGGGGCGGTTTGGCTAGCGCCGTTTATTTTAGCGCCGTTTATTTTCTCAAACACCTCCGGCGGAACAGTGCGGTTGAGTCCACAATCTTACGAAAACAACCTGAAAACATACACCTTTTATCCCATAGGCCAGCAGAATACCGGGAACTGTAGAATGTCTACCAAAATTGCGGGTCACAGCGGCAGCTGAGCGCTTGTGCAGCCGAGCGCACCTCGTCGCTGTGCAACGCCGCTAGGTCCTTAGGTGGCGTCACCTGTCCCGCGGGCTGGCAGTGCTCGATGGAGCCGACCGGCGCCACCATCGAGCCACTCGGACTCCGGCGCAAAATCCTGACGGCGGGTGCTCTAACGGGAGAGAAACGGATCCGCGCCGCCGGCCGGCTGACGGCGCCGGCGCTCAGACGCAGAAGCGCTGACGGCTCAGACGCCAGAGGCGCTGACGGCTCAGAGGCCGAACCACGCGGTGGTGGTGTTGCCAGTTCTGACGGGTTCGCTTCGCGTGGTAGACCAGCCCCCAGCGACGGGGCGGGATGCGCACGGCGAAGCGCTACTGTTGTCACGCGCGCGTCTCGTTCGTCGCCGCGGCCCGGGCGGGGCTGGTGGAGCAGCGCTGTGAGTGTTTGCAAGTGCGCGTGATGAGTAGGTTTAGTGTTGGCCGTCGGTGGCCCGGCCGCGGCTGCGCCGGCCACCTAAGGTCTCGTCGTGCCGCGTGTGCCGTTGGACACGTGACGACCTGTGGCGCGCCCGTATCGGCTAATACACGTTCTCGTACACGAATCTGTTCTCACCGGAGTGAAGCACACGCCTTCGCTCATCGCGGGCCTCGTCACGGCACGTTCTCGTACACGAGCCTGTTCTCGCCGGAGTGAGGCACACGGTCGCGTTCATCGCGAGCCGCATCAAGCGAGGACACGGCGTGATGAGACCAAAACATGAGGCAAAGCGCCGATCATGGGAATGATTCAATCGTGTAACGCTAGTCTGATGACACCTTTGACGGCACCATGTGAGCACCTTTCCCACGCCGATTGTTCTGTGCTGATCACACCGCTCGCCGAAGTGAATGCAATCCCCTGGGGTGACCTGTCAGACTTCCCCTAAGGCTATAGCTCACTCGACGTTAGTCTGATAAAAGGAGCAATTTCAGAGCTCTACTTGAGGTATAAGCTTTCTCTTGATCATGTGCCCGCTGAAATATTGATCTAGCTTGCGAGTTGTCTGGCAGATGCGATTATTTACGTGTAAGCATCGCGTAACAACAAGTTCCAACCTGACGTAAAGTTCCAAAGCCTCTCCGGGCGCGCGCGCTCTCCTTCACAATAGTCTGCCCGGTCGCGATGCATGGCAACCACCGCTCATCAGCTGCGCCGTCATCCTGCCGTGCCCCCAGAGCCCCGATCTCCGGCATCGGCTGCCGGGCCCCCAGAGCCCCGATCTCAAGTACAGCAAGCCACCGACAACACACTCCGTGTGAGCACTCCGTGTGACTGTCTTCTGGAAAGCCCCACGGAAAAAAAGGCTTGTGATGACGTCGGGGGATAAGTAAAAAAGGTCACAGCCAGGGAGTTTAACGCATAAAACAAACCGCACAACACGTAAAACACTACCAAAACCAAATGCTGGCAACGCGGGCTGCATTGAGCTTTCGACAAAAAAGCTTGTGATGGTTATACCGTTCTAATTTTTGGACAAAGGGAAGGCGATCGGCATGACAGAAGAGCCCAAAGAACGGTTCTCCAGATGTGTCGGTAAAAAGCGCGCAGGCACACCATATGTAGCTCTCCGGCAATCGTTCACCCATGACAGTCCAAGAGCTATCTGGAAGTTCAAGCGCGGCTAAGTAAGACTCTCAAGCGCAGCTAAGTGAGACTTTCAAGCGCGGCTAAGTGTCTCAGGCGCGGCTAAGTGAGACACAAGCGCAGCTAGGGGTCTCGAGCGCAGATAAGGTTCTCAACCGCGGCTAAGTGCCCTTAGAAACAACTCGAGCCGATGCTCCTCGCAGTTGTGCTCCGACAGCAGGTTTCCTGGACCCGCCCCTGCAGTCGGGCGCCAGGACTGGTCGAATGACATCACGCTCTACGAGGCCGCGCCTGCCTCGTGCGGTGCGAAGCCTTTGCACGGGGATTCACTCATGCATCGAATTGAACCCATGGCTTGTCGCACTCAGCCTTGTTACCGACTTTGGCTTGAGTCAGAGTCAAGCCTGCAGTCAGCTAGAATCTGGTACGTGGCCGAAGAAAGCTTAGATACATGGATGCGCACGTATTTTGGGGTTCCCGCAAAGGTGGCGCTCTGTGCAACAAAATTTGGTGATCTCCTTGACAATTATGAGGTAAAGGTGCGCCTTAAGACGGGGGCAGGGCGGCAGGGGGAGGAGGCAGAGGGGGCAGTTGCCTCTCCCCTGTCGGCGGGCGGCGGACAAGCGGCGGCTTTTCTCCCTTCAGCGTTTTTGGGAGGCTCCGTATCCCCTAACTAAGAAAGCTGCAACTGTCGGTGGATTACCAAAATTCAGATAAACGAGGCCCCATAACTGAGCTAGAGAGTAATAATCGGGTTCAAAATATTATTTCCTACATGAAGAAGCGCTTTGTTTGTGTCAAGAGGCCTCCTTTATGAAGGGGGGTGTCCCATACCATAGATCAGCAGGCCCAATGGTGTGTCAAGGAGGCACCTCGATGAATGAGGTGGCCCATACTATAGATCAGTAGGTCCAATGGTGTGTCAGGGAGGCACCTCCATGAATGAGGTGGCCCATACTATAGATCAGTATGCCCAATGGTGTGTCAAGGCGGCCCCTTTATGAATGAGGTGGTCCATACTATAGATCGTTTGGCCCAGTGGTGTGTCAAGGCGGCCCCCTTTATGAATGAGGTGGTCCATACTATAGATCATTTGGCCCAGTGGTGTGTGTCAGGGAGGCACCTCCATGAATGAGGTGGCCCATACTATAGATCAGTAGGCCCAATGGTGTGTCAGAGAGGCACCTCCATGAATGAGGTGGCCCACACTATAGATCAGTAGGCCCAATGGTGTGCCAGGGAGGCACCTCCATGAATGAGGTGGCCTATACTATAGATCAGTTGGCCCAGTGGTGTGTCAGGGAGGTCCCTTTGCTGGCTGGGGATGCACCTTGTATGAAGAAGGGGCCCCATGTTCTGGGTTATGAGGAGCTCTTTATGTTCAGCATTCCTCACTTATGGAGCAGGAAGTCCCTTTTCGTGTGTCAGATGGCCACAAATCCGGATCAGAATGCTCGGTCATGAGATAACGATGCCGCTTGGCTGAATTTGCGGACCCCTTGGTGGATTGGATAATTCCTGTTCTGGATTAAGCGGCCCTTATATGCGTCATGGGAGCCTTTCCGGAACAAGAGGTCCTGTTTTGGGGAAGCAAGACAATGGGCTAGATAATCAGAAAATTCTTATTCGGATTTTATGTTTGTCGACATTTATATATTCGGATATAAGGCGCATCACGCCCTCGCTACCCCTGCCCTCGAGCACGACACTGTCCAGGAGACCCCTTGTGAGGAGGCCCCATTTCGTTCAGGAGGCTCCATGCGAGGAGGCCCCATTTCGTTTAGGAGGCCCCCTGAAAAAATCCCGCCTCGACAGCTCAACATCCGTCCCTAATGCCGTCCCTGCCAGAAGGTCACTTTGTTCGTGACCGCTGACGCTCGCACGCCTGCAGGCAGTGAGTGCCATTCGCTAGACGTGCAAAACACAATGCGAAGGAAGGACTGCGAATATAAACAGCGCTGTGGTGATCCCCCTCCCCACCCTGCTTCCTTGGATGGCATACGTGAGTATATTTGGAGCAGTATCGTCCGACCCGAGCTAAGCAGCCCCTCAGCAGTGCTTCGAGAAGGACATTTACTAAAAGCGTGTCGAGTATTAAGCTATCTGTTTGCAATAACTGTCTTGCGGGAAAACCTGTGTGATAAGGTTAATTTTGAATTTTTTGGCAACAGCATCGACTGATGACATGCAAGAGCTCCCTTGCCTCCAATGCGCCGTGGTTCTTGCAAAAATATGCACCCACACAGCTGAACAAATGAGGAAATTCAATATGGGCTATTAACAATCATTAACTCGAAAAGGTCTTATCTCAATATATCTTAATATCCAACCTTACACGAACTCGGAGCTTTATGTACACAGTTAAATCAGATGTGAAATAAAACTGTACTTGAAGGCAGTAATTTTCTTGAACCACACCGTGCATCGCATAAATATGGCCTCTTGCCTAGATTTAGAATGATTCAAAGATCTTCCAAGGTGCAACGGCTTCTAAGGCTTCTGGTGAGTATTTGTGGATTTTGCAGTTTTGAAAAGCGTAAGGGCATCGTCGTTCTGGTGGTACAGCAAATCATGGGGAAAATATGCCCTTTTTCTGCGTGCCGCGTCGCACACTGCACATGCAAACATGCCCCATTGGTGTAACATGAACAATACAAACTTGGCAAGTTGCCAACAATCGTCAAAGTGGTAAACGAGAACGGGGTTTCTATGTCGACAACTCGAGGTCGTAGCAAAACAAAATCAGCGCGCGGTATTGAAGGTTTCTGCCTCCGTTTGCTGAGCAAGACATGGTTTACGGTTATCATGTCATTATGTGGCATATAACGAAACTATATCGACATGTTAGGAGAGTCGAGCCCCTGCTTAGTTTTTGATAAGCCAGCGAATGAGCATGGCATTTTGCACAGATGAAAACGGAAAAGTTGGTGGCGACGGACGTATTGGCCGATTGCGACCAGAGTATTGTGACATTATCACGTTATTTGGATGAACATGGGACACAGTGACCTGGGATTTACGCGTGTCAATCTTACAACCCCAGCTTGCTCGGCTTATGCTGCAGGGTACATTCCAAAATGTTTTAGAGAACGCCACATTTGTCACCTCCAGGACGATTGCTGGCGTCGCTATGTGTCTGACGGTGTTGGGTTTTTATTTCTGAGGTTTGCGACTGCTCGCGTCCATTAATTTCTTACGTAATTTTCGTCGCTGCTCTATTCTAAATGTGGGTTGAACATCTCTAAACGGACACGAGTTGGACATGTCTATACAGAATGCTGGGCCCATTTCGTTGCATAATGTGCGTTCACGGATTCTCAATATATACGCAGGGCTCATCAAAATTCTGATCAGGTTCACAAGCGTTATCAGCTTACAAATAATTCACTAAACCATTGCAAAGTGAAGAGCGCCGGTGGCTTATTCGGTGCAGTCACTGAACGCCTGGCTTCCTCAGCTTATTTACTTCAGAATACAAACAGAATTGCATCTTTCGGTGGCTTCTGACTGCTGCTGAGATCTTCAAATATGCAGCGAATAATAAAACGAAGTAAGAAATGTCTCTCGAATTCGACTGGGGCACATCCGGCGATATCTTCAGCGGGGGTGAGGGGTGGGCGGGAAGAGTGGGGGCATTTCACCACCAGCGGGCCTTTGTCAACCCTGCCCCCCCCCCCCTCCATAAGCAAGACTCTGGCTGCGTACCTGTGACAGAGTGATTTGCAGACAATACATGCACCTGCACGGTGCGGCTGGTCTCTGGTCGTTATCTGCACGGTGCGGCTGGTTTCAGGTCGTTATCTGCACGGTGCGGCTGGTTTCAGGTCGTTATCTGCTCGGGTCACTGAGACGCGACATCAGTCCTGAAAAAAACTCCCAGACTGCAGAATTTCCCATTAGCGCATGAGTGCACGTACACCTCACCGCGCGTCGACTGACACCTTTGCGTGCCCAAGTATTCGTTCCAAATATCCCGAGTATCCGTTCTGTTCTGCGTAAAAATGTGTGGGTGCGGCTTCACTGAGAGTTTTTTTTTTGCGCACAGTTTCCCGCCAAGCGTCTCGGCGGCTTTCGTTTGCAAGAGTTGTGTTTCCAGTTTTAACACGCGCTCAGCGTATCAACGCCAAATTCTGAATAGATGTAGAGAATTGAATAGCGGATCGTTCCGTGCCAATAATTTAGCTGTGTGCTGTAAGGTCACTGACCCGCAACAGGCCAAAGTCAGGTCATGGATTCAGCGATGTCAATTGCCACGGAATTGTTCAATCTGACGCAACAGGAGAGTGTTAGATGAATCTAAACATCTCTGAGATATTTTGTCAGTAAAAAAAAGACAGTACAAAATAAACAAAGTCCGCTGACCTAGGTTCAGTTACGAAGGTCAGACCTAGGTCAAACCAGCCTGTTTTATTACCTTAGGGCTTGCTGTAGGGGTAGTTTCTGGTGTTTATTTTGAATTTACTGGTAACAGGAACCACATTACACATCTTCCATTTACTCTTAAAGGTCAGAATAGGTCACTGACCTAAAATGACCCAGGTTTACATTTCATTTTTAGGAACATACTGCCCGGAGAAATCTTTGTCGCTTATTTAAATGAAAAATTAAAAGCAGGCTTGTATGATTTTGGTCACCACGGCCTTCATAACCTCAAATAAGAGGTTGTGAACCTCTGAAGGTCAAAACCTCGCTGACCTTAAATGAGCATGAAGCATTTTGCTTAGAACAGGTATCTGTCGTCTGGGGTCACTTTTGAGATCAGCCTGGCGTTTGTCCTTGCTCGACCCTATTTAACCCGAAGATTATGCCCTAGCAACCTCAGACTTTAACCTAAGTATGTTCACATACAGGCCAACACACCGAATTTTGTGTCTCTAGCTCTCTTAGTTTCTGAGATCTCAAGGGGTCAAATCGACCCCCACCTGAGCGAAGAGTATCCAACCGGCCACCCGGGTGTGTGTTAAGCCAATGGAGCAGCGTCGCATACGCTAACGATGCCCTGCCGGTCGGACCCGGTCAAAAACGAGGTGCAATGATGCACCTTTGCTGGCCCAGCCGTACGCCAGAGGTCGTGTAGCCAGCTGGCGCCGTCGCCGAGCCGCAGTTCTATTCAGGTCTGTCATACGGACAGACCAAGGGACGAAAATAGAGAGGTTCAGAATATAAAGAGAAAAAATATTTAAAAGGAAAATGCAAAATAACATAACTACGATACTAATTATAAAAAGAAACGAAACACGTTCAGAAAAGACGGACATAAAAAGCTTCAAATGTAAGGAATGCATCGCAGAACCATTTTCAGTCTTAGCTATCCATCATTCTTAGTTGCTGTTCGAATGATGTGGTAAAAGCTAGATAACAGTTATTTATGAGGACCTAAAAATATTATTCGAAATGTGCATGCTGTTAGCGTGAAAGCAAGAGCGCTTTGGGAACACTTTCAATATTTCAGTGTTTGTTTGTTTCAAATATTCGAACACTGATTTCGGTGTTGAAATATTCGCCGAAGTTCAATATTCGTTGGGACACGCACATGCTCTGAAACTGAATGTTCAGTTCTACCAGCCACTGCACCATTCCAATTTGTACAGCCAGCCAGCCAGTGAGCGAACATTTCATGTCACCATCCCCCACGCCGCCATTTATTAAAACCTGACCCGTGGGCACCCCTTTTGACCTTCGCCGTTTCGACGTAATGACCTTTTGGTACGTCGCCATTTTGTAGTTCACCATTTAGCCGTTTGCTTATTTGTCATGGCGTGTTTCACGTGTGCTATAGTGCCAGTAGTGATGCATGCTGTAGGGAAATGAGGGACACTTTCCTGAAGCACGGACTATGCTGAAAGCCTTCTGGTCGCCACGGATAGACATGAATACGGCATGTCTCGAGATGTATTGTCGCTCATAGGCGCAGCTACAGACGTCCAGCACCGAAGAGGTAGTATAGATGCTACTACACCTTCAACTCAGTTACACTCCCACACGCTTCACACCGAAGCTGAAGGTGCCGCGGCAGACCGACGAACCCGTCGCGAATACGTTGCCGAGCTGTAAGCGAGGTTCGAACGAATACAATGGAAACCAGAACCGGACAAATGTGTTGTAAGTGCCGCAGATAACCCTGCACTAGCGACAACGAATTTACACGGTCACACTCATCCCGCAAGATTACGAGCATTATTGCATCATCATCATCATCATCATCACCACAATTAACAAAATATGTTATGTGGTATGGTGAGCGATTTATGTTGCCGGCCGATAGTGCCTCGACAGTAACACCGTATGCGCATGGTTGCACATCTCTGCATGAAAAAAGCATTTCAACTTGAACGCCGTAATTCCGCACGCCGCCGCCGCCGCCGTCCCGCCGGGCTTGAGTGCGACATTTTTGGGCGTCGGCCGAATGGAATGGAATCGCTCATCGGACAGTTGTGTTTTACTGGCGACCGGTACCCTATACGAGCGCTGTTGAATACACAGTCGCTCTGTTCGAATGGAATTGCAAACATTTTCCCGGGTCACCATATTCTGGCCGTCACATCACGTTCAACGTCCGCAACAGGTAGCGACGCGGCTTAAAATGCTCCAAGTCGCGCGCGACGGATGAGACAACGTGCGCACGATGCCATGATAGGAGCGCTAACGGCTGACAACGTAAAACGCGCACTCGCCAACATGACCTTTTCGTTAAAATTACATCTTCATCGCTCTTTTTCCAATCTTGACAGCGCGTTGCTAACTGCGGCCGGCCGGCAGCGACCACCACTGGACAGCGTGTCCGGCGTACGGCGGCCTGGAAAAAGCGCTGATGAACGCGCGCAGAGATCGCGATAGCGCCGCTGCTAGCGACTATCACTGGCCGGTACAACGCGCTTGTCCGACGACGGAACCCATTTAATTCGGTCGGCCGACGACAGCGTCTCACTCAATGCCCGTGGGCCGGCCACAACGGCAAACTTACGGCGTCTAATTCAAAAGGTCTCTAGTCGTGCCCAGGAGGTGGGACCATCTCCACGCGATGTCGTTGTGGGATGGCCCCCGGCCGGTAAAGTAAACTGCCCATGGGCCGTAATGACCTATTTGCATAATTCACCCTTGAAAACGCATGACGCCCTCGCGGCGGGTCAGCTAGATATCTCAGTAAACACTAGATCATGCATCGTATTCATCAGAGCGCTAACCCATAAGTACACAAGGAGGTAGCAGTCCCGCAGCGCCCCACAAAGTAAGCAACGAACAGCAGTAACGCTTGCATAGTATTGGCTTTGTATCATCATCACCCAAACGCAATACATGGAAAATGGCGACGTCTTCTAAAAGTGGCAGATAAGTCCTATAAGCTCGCCAAGATCATAATTTCTGAATCCGAAGCGGCGTCCGCTTACGGGATGTGTTCACTAGAATCCTGCTCCTTCAAGAATCGAGGGGTAATCCTCCGCAGACCAACTGCTGCAGCCTTCAGCGGCGAGCGACGCCGGACAAGCCCTGACGCTCGGGAGGCGACAGGAGCCGACAGTCCAGCTGCCTGCTTGCCTCTCAGCACCCGGTCGCCCTGTGCGCCTTGAGCGTCTTCTTAAAGCGGAACATCTCGCCGCAAGTCCGGCAACCGAACCTCTTCTTTGCCGCATGCACGCGGCCATGAACGGCCAGTGTGCCGCGGCTTTTGAACTTCTTCCCGCACGCGTCGCAGCCGAAGAGCCTGTCGCCGACGTGCGTGAGCACGTGGTTGGCCAGGTGGTCACGCCGGCCAAACGTCTTGTCACACGTCTTGCAGCTGAAGGGCTTCACGCTCGCATGCGAGTGCATGTGCGCGGTCAGGTGGTCGCGGCGGATGTACGTCTTGCCGCACGTATCACAGCCCAGTGGCTTCTGGTCCACGTGTGTCCACGCGTGCAGTAAAAGCGCCGCTTTCCTGCCGAAGGACTTGCTGCACACGGCGCAATCGAAAAGCTTCTCGCCCGTGTGCGTGCGCGCGTGCAGGGTCATGGTGCACTTCTGACTGAAGCGCAGGCCACAGAGCTCGCACGCGTACGGTTTGCCCGTGTGGATACGCATGTGCAGGGTCAGACTGGCCTGCGTCTTGAAGGCCTTGTCGCAGTGTGAACAGGCGAACGGACTTTCGTCGGAATGCTTCCGCGTGTGCACCGTCAGGTACGACTTGGACTTGAACGACTTGTCGCACAGCGTGCAGGCGAACGGACGGACCACTGAGTGCGACTCCAGGTGTAGCAGAAGCTGCCCCCGCCGGAGGAAGGTCTTGCCGCACAGCTGACACGGATGCCTCGGTCCAGCGCTGCGTCTCTCCGACCCTGCCGTCCCGCCCCAGTTCGAGCCGCCGGCCGCCTGGGTCTCCTGGGCGGTCTCCTGGTCTCCGCGGTCTGCTCTGCAGTGGCACTCGACATCAGGCGGGACACAGGCCTTGGAGGCGGTCGTCACACGCTGGCGCTGGTGGTCGCTGCTGACGTGGAGGTCAAGGTCGTCCCGATTCGAGCAAGGGGCACTGAGCGGGGTCCGCTGGCACGAGGCGCGTTGAGCGCGGGGGGGCCGCTGGAACACGAGGGCGCAGTTGAGCGCGGGGGCCGCTGGAACACGAGGGCGCGTTGAGCGCGGGGGCCCGGAACACGAGGCATGCCGCTGGAGTTCGCAGTGGCATGACATACATCTTTCTGCCGTCTGTCCGTCTGTCACACGGACAGAAGACAGACAGACAGACAGACAGACAGACAGCACAGACAGACAGACAGACAGACAGACAGACAGACAGACAGACAGACAGACAGACAGACAGACAGACAGACAGACAGACAGACAGACAGACAACAGACAGACAGACAGACAAACAGACAGACAGACAGACAGACAGACAGACAGACAGACAGACAGACAGACATACTGACCGGCTGACTTCGCAAACTGCGTGCATACACCCGGTCATTTTCAAGGAGATTAACATCCAGCGGTCTGCGGAAACGGGACTCACGGCGAACAGACATCTATGGGACGTTTGTTAATGACTCTTACTAAAATGCCGCCATGTGCGATATCCGTGGGCATGTACATCAGGGTTGCGTTGCACACCCAGTTGCTGCGTATGCCCCGTTCCCATTACAAGGCGCATAAGTTGAGGGATTTCAAGACCCTTTTCAAATTATGCGTACAACAGTGATTGTCATGAGCACGGTTTGCACATCATCATGAATAATGCAACGCGCAATATGACACCAAGGATTAGAACATACCCAATTCGGCCTCTTCTTCTACTTTGATATTTAACTCCGCAGCGGTGACCAGAGGAACGTCTTCTTCTGACTTCGTCACGCAAAAGTCCAATTTCCTTCCTGAAATGGAGTGCATGATGTTGGCCAGCTGGCAACTACAGACTCCATTCCAATCAGAGGGTGGCAGTCGATTCCACATACAGCTAACCCATGCACAGCCAGCAACCACAACATTGCGTGGCTACTCGCTGGATCGTGACGGGGAGTGAAAAGAACTAACCCGAATGATCTGTTCTCATTTCATCCGGATCTTTCGAGTGAATGGAACTCTGGGATCAGAGTTCATGCTTGACAGGGCTTGCCGCGTCAGCTCTGACATTCCATTCGATCGCGACATTCCAGGCCAACAGCAGAATTTGGTGGCGACAGTTTAACGTGACGGACGCGACGTTCGGCGCATCCGCCTTGACCTCTGACGTCACCTGACCTCTCGCGCAGCCGCTGCGACTGGCCGCCGGCCAGTCGTAGCGACTGCGCGAGGATAAACAGTGAGCCTGTCAAGGATAAACAGTGAGCCCCTAAAGCAACGCGAGTCCACACCGCCACGTGAGTAAATCGGCAGGCAGGCGCACTAAACGAGTGAACTACCGGGACAGATATCTTTCACGCTTGCTTGTCCAGGGAGCGGTTTTCTATGGCTTCAGCCGTAAGCGCGCTGCCAATGCGTCAATAAACGCGAACAAAATGACACCAACTGTACGTACCGTCCTCAGCCGCCACGCTCGACAACGACGATGTTGAAGAGCCTGCGGTCACGCCTCCCTCAAACGCCGATACATCGGGGGGTCCGGTGTAATGTTCGGACCGTCGTCTAAAACAAACGCAGACACATAGGGGGTCGGCGTGATTTTCGGACCGTCGTCTAAAACAAACGCAGACACATTGGGGGTCGGTGTGATGTTCGGACCGTCGACCACAACACAGTCGTTGTTTTTAACACGCGGACCCAGCCACGCACGAACTCCATCGATCTTCAGAGGTGAGTGTTTGAACATGAAATAGTGAAGCGCACGTACCAAACGCAGCTTAGCATCAGTGCAGATTCACACGCACATGGCAACAGGGTACGATGCTAGCACTCACCTGGGAGTATGTAGCGGGGGTAGAATGTTTTCGTTTTCATGTTCATCAGCATGCTCCTCGCACTTCACCTGAGCGCTTCCGCAACTGAAAACTGCAACACAAGGGAAACACACGTTACGTCGTGTATGGTTACACGGCTGTGAGTCAGTTAACAACGCTCCACGCGAATTGCTTCGATGCGAATGCCACAGAAGTGGACAAATGGTATTTGAACCAGCCTTGTCACATGTAAAAAAGCATGTCTGGAAATGCTAACGCAAAATTAATGTTTCACGCTTCACTTCCCGCGCAGTGCTCAAGTACATTCTTGTTGAAAAGAGAGTGACTATCACGCTTGCTTAGGGACCAGTCTTGATTTTGAGAGGTGATCACCCGGTGTTTCGTAAACACGTGTCGTAAATAACCGTAGAGCATACACTTCCTGCTGCCAAATGTTGAAGGATTGAGGCATGCTCTGTACCACGTACTATAACTTCTTTTGTGCCTGTAAAAGAAGACGGCGTCATTTTCAGTGCATCGGCAGATGCGTCATATTTTCAGCCAGTCGAAGGAACACCTTCCCGAAGCTCCTTATCACCATCTACTCAGTACGGTATCTACGGTGACAAGTTTTGCTATGTCTGTGTCTCTTCTCGTCTGTGTGACACAATTTGTCTTAGGCTGTGAACAGCACTGGTACGCCCAGCTTTCTATATCTCGCTGTCGTTCGTGTACACCAGAGCTAAAATATGTCCAATTTCTGATGCATGATCATTTGATGTTCTCGTGTGAGCAGGTGGGTTCGGAAATGACATCATGCAGTTCATTTTTGCTTCCATGCTTACCAGCTGCTTTCAGGCTTACCAGCTGCCGCTCTTCTCCTTGAAGTGAACCAATGTTCAATGATACCAAACATCACCTCGCATGTTAACTTTCACAACAATCGCGAAGCCCGAGCATACGTGCAGCTTCCTCAGCTTCTGGGGCGGCCGCTCTCTGCAGCTTCATGTTTTCTCCGAGCAACGGAGCCCCGAATTCCTCTTTTTAAGTAAAATGGAAGACTGGTAACTGCCGCGCTCCACAACCCGGCTCCGCGTTTGGCCGCTTGCGAACATGAACGAATAAATTACGGATGCTTACCCACAGGTCACCGGCAAAGCCAACAACGAAGGCTTGGAATTCGTGGGCTGGATGCATGCATGCGACTTTTAAGCTCATACAAGCAGTGAGCATGCTCCGCCGCGGAGGGGAGGGGGCAGGGGGGGGGGGAGGGTTCTCATGCCGCGATTTCAGACATTGCATCTGAGCCGCGATTTCAGACATTGCATCTGAGCCGCGAGCCACGCCGGGCTCTACCGGATGGTATTCCGTACCGCTCTACCGGCTCCACTGGAAGATCTACTGTACCATTCTACCGGTTCCACCGAACGGTCTTCTGCACCGCTCTAACGGCTATACCGGACGGTCTACTGGACCGCTATACCGGCTCTACCTGACGGTCTACTGTGCCGCTCTACCAGCTATACCCGACGGTCTTTCTGTACCGCTGGACCGGCTCTACTGGACGGTCTTCTGTGTCGCTCTAGCCGCTCCACCGGACGGTCTACTGGACCGCTATACCGACTCTACCCGACGGTCTGTTGTACCGCTCTACCAACTATACCCGACGGTCTTCTGAATGACCCTACCGGCTCTACCGGTCTACTGCACCGCTCTATCGGCTATATGCCGCCCTACCGGTTCTGCCCGACGGTCTCTGCCGGCTGCTGAGGGCGCTGCCGACCGCTTGCACGGTCGCTCTGTGCTCTGCGCTCTTTTTTTCCTTTTTTTAGAAATTTGATCCGAACCCTTTGAATAGATGCATTCCTGGGAGCTCATGCTAAGCAGTGCTTGTTGTGTGGGCCCTGGCCTCTACCATCCGATCGCGCAATTACAGGCAACGGCAGAATTTAGTGGCGAAAGTTTAACGTACCGCAATGCTCGGCGCGGTCCCTCCTGCCCTCTGACGTCAACTGACCTTTAGCGCGACCGCTGCCACCGGCCGCAGGCCATACCTGTCAAGGACAAATAGCGAGCGCCTAAAGCGACTCGAACCCACCCCGCCACGGGTGGGTGAATCGGGAGGCAGGCGCTCTAACCAACTGAGCCACCGGGACGGACGCTCTGGCTAGAGCTCTGGCTTGACCTTTGAGCTCCCTTCACATTCCACCCGGTGTGCTCTCCGGTGGTCACTGAGCACGCTCCAGTGCACGATTTCGCTCCGTATGATTCGCTAAGCAAAACTGCCGAACCACCTCAAGAGGATGTTACAGAAGCGAGTGTACCTCAACGAGCGCGCGGAGCGTGACGACCGCTGACACAGCGGCTTGCGAAGGGCACTACTCGCCTCATCTGGCTCAACTGGGTGCGTTCGTGTCAACTAGCAGGTCATTTACTGGTGGTGTCCCGAGCGGCTCCGCCTGCGAGCCGAAGGGCGTGATTTTGGACGGTCTCAAGGGGGTGAAGGTGAGAGGTAGATATATCATCCAACAGAAATGACGACAGTCCAAGATTAATATAATCGGTGAAGTGGAAAGAGTTGCGAGATTGCGTCGATCAGTACAACAATTACACCCTGCGATGAGTATATTGCATGCCCTGAATGCATTGCATTGCAATGAAAGGCACCACGTCTGCGTGAGCTGCGCTGTCGATGGTTTGCAATATTGACATGAAAGGTGAGATGGCGGTCTGAAGTAGCCTCAAACTATTGGAAATGAGGGGCAATCGGAACGTTTTGATCGTTGACGTTCGAGGAAACAGCAACAATGTGACGACGTCAATCAGAAAACATCACAGCGGTTGGTTCTGCAGGGAAATATGTCAGCCCCGCGCGCCACGCAATGTTCGAATCTGATATGGAGCTTGTCGATCTAATTCACTCGCGCCACCGACGCGGGGGTACGTGCACCACACAGCGAGATCGTCAGCGACGTTAGATGTGTGAAGTGTTGAGAAATGACATAGTGCAGAGCGCTAAACAAAAAAGTTCGAACGGTCCAAATCGGGCTGGGAAAACGCTTTAACAGTTAACTGTGTTAACAGTTAACTGTGTTAACAGTTAACTGTGTTAACAGTTAACTGTGTTAACAGTTAACTGTGTTAACAGTTAACTGTATTAACAGTTAACTGTTGTTAACAGTTAACTGTGTTAACAGTTAACTGTGTTAACTGTGTTAACTTAAACAGTTAACAGTTAACTGTGTTAACTGTGTTAAACTTAACAGTTAACTGTGTTAACTGTGTTAATCCGTTAACTGTTAACGGACTAACACTCACCCTGATATGGTGGGAGCGGTGAACGACGCCCCTCCTTCAAGGTTTTCCGAGACATCTCTCCAGCATGCCACGTGATCGCGCCCAAATTATCGGTAGCCTATGACACATTAATCGCGCGTGTTTTGACACCACAGATGTGCTGCTAAGCTTCTGGTTTCCGAGTGCGCGGAAACCAGAAGCTTGGCAGCTAAGCTTCAAAAGGCTAAGCTTTTTTGAGGAACACGACACGGCGATCCACGGCCGCCGGGCGGCAGCTGACGAAGGTCCGCCAAGCGCACGGCGAATTCGCCGATCTCGCGGCGAATTCGTCGACCGCGCAGCGAATTTGTCGGCTG